GACCCTAAAGATTGTCGGAAGCTTTGCTGATACAGAAGGTACGCTGGACGTATTGAATAAACCATACTGATCCCCGTCTCTTCATTAGGAACTCAGACGCTCCAGGCAGGCTGCGTCCTACCGAATTCCCCGCCGAGTCGTTGACTATCTCGACAGGTCTTCCTCGAGGAAATTTATCATAGATCCCAGCCTCGAGACCCGACGGTAATCGGCTTCGTTGTGGCAGATTGAACACGCTCAGTGGAGTTAGCGCATGGGAATGTGCCCACGAAGATCGTACTTTACGGTAACGGAGTTCTTGATGAACACGGGGCTCTCTCGTCAACGAAATCATATCTTCCATGTGCGGACCGTGGCTTCGCAGGGTGCAGGGCAACAGCGAACAAACAGCAGCACTACTGGACGGATTGACCTATTTCAACGAGATTATCTGCTGCACATTGGAGATACTTTGACAAGCGTGTAAGAAAGCTGCGGATCATCCTATAAACTGAACATCTGCTTTGCTAACGTTTTCATAGAACATTGATGATGGTCCGGCGGGGATTTGAGATAGGATCCGTATCCCATTGGGACCTTAACTGAATCTAATTAACCAACTACTTGTATAAAGATGCCCGTGGCTCCTAGCTCTTCCCATCCTTTCTTCCTCACGCCTAGAAAGCCTCCTCACTAGACGATCTCAACGTAGATGTCCGACCCAATTACCGGCGCGCCGCCTTTGGGCCTCCCTCCGTCGTTGCCGTCGTTTGACAACACTTTGGGGCCGATGTACATGGGTGCGTATCCGCCATTTACTGTTACTGAGTGCTAAACATAATATGTTGTATGTGACTACGCCCTTCCAGCCGTTGTGTTCATATCTATGTTAGTGGAAATATCGTTTCTAGTCATCTCACGATATCGGTACTAACTGGGTACCAGGCTTTTCGGTATCACCACCGTCCAGGCGTTCGTGTATCATCAAAATTGTGCACGAGATCCACTGAGTCTCAAAATGATGGCACGTCGAATCATATATTTCTGCTGGAAGTTATATCTTAACGGTTAAACACAGATTTTGGCACTCTGGTACTGTCATACCACCTCGCTAACCAACAGTTAAACCCATATTTTTCCCCTTCCAGGATTTGTGATTGCGTGCAAGTGGCTTTGGCGATACACTTCGGATGGTACTATAGCATCCAGAACTTCGCCAACCCCCTAGCACTCGTTAACATAGTTTGGTGAGTATCTGGAGCTTCAAGCAACCACATGTGCTCACTTTTGTCGGTCGGCACCGCCGTAAGGTCTCTAACGGTAGGTACTATAGTACTCGCCCTCGGCCGCCGAGACTGAACATCTCTCGTTTGCGATTAGACGTACACGCTGTTGGGAGTAAGTCGTGATTTGACAGCTATTGGCAATGCTAACCACCGACTGTCAGACATTCAGCGATTCGGTGGTGAACTGGTAAGTACGTCCGTTGTTGAGATGTTGTGAAGCCTAATGCAGACTTGTTCGCTCAAGTTTGTTAGCATGGAGGCTTTGGAAATGTGAGTCTGCTGATTATGTATTTCTCCCGTTACCTCACTGCCTCACGGGAAGTGCAGTGTCTTCTAAGAGTGTATGGCTCCTACTCCTCGTCGTACGTGTACACGATTGCTTATCTTCATCCATCTTATATAACGCTTTGCACAGGCCGTGCCGACGCTCATGTCGATCGGTGAGTCCGTCAGCTACCTAGCGGTAGAATATTACTCTAAACCATGAACGGACAGCCGGGACTATCGGTACGCCAGGAGATAATCTTTCACCTTGTATAAACTGACCATGGGCCCGCCATAGCTCTCGCTACTTTCAGGTCAGTCTCAGCATCCTCATGCATCGTGCCATTGAGTACCGACCGCACCATATATCCAGTTTCCGACAGCCATCCTTTGAGCAGTTGAAGCACTCATATACGGCAAGTCGCTCCTGAACTATGACTCGAGATTAAGCCTGACGTCCGTTTGATAGTGGACCTGGTACCTCATATTTGTTCCACACGCCTTCGCAAACATAGTGATATCTCTGTCACTGGTCGTCACCCTCGTCAAGAAACACACGGGTTTCAAAGGGTATGATCGGCCTCATGGCTTTACTGCCTGCTAATGCTGTTCTTGTCGCTGTAGCACTGCCTCTCTCATTCGTTTACTGGTAGTTTATATCGTCAACTCCTGCTTTCTTGTCAGGTCAGTCAACCCAACAGATGCGCCTTCAAGATCATTCACAACCAGTCATTTTTCAGCACCTCAGCTATATTCGCCGTCGTGCTCGTGAGTCCGTGTATCTTGCCCTCAGACTCCCCTAACTTCTCGTACAGTATACAGCAAGCCCGAACACGCTCTGGTTTGGCACCGCCGCAGCTGTGTTGACTAAACGTGAGTGAGCACGACGCGCCCCACCCGCTGTATTCATCCTATACTTCAGTGATGTTCAACTCCCTGCTGGGGCTCCTCAACACGAAGGAATTCTGGAAGAAGCAGATTTACGGCGCCGCAGAACCCATGTCCATTCACCTTTCCCGGCTGCCGACCGACAGCGAAGCACAGTCAGCACCGACGTCTGAGGAACGCGTGAGTTCTGTTTTGTTGCGGATCCGTATCCGCCGGGCCTCACACTCAATCACGTTTCATTAGGCTCTCAAAGTCCACATCGCACACGGCGAGGAAATAGATTACACCAAGTGAATCCATGCTGGAAGAACCAGAGTGAGAGCATGGGTCTTGTGAAGCTGAACATTCTTCTTGGCTGGCCGGAATGGCCGATATATATATTGTACGACTGGCTGCAGAAGGCCACTACAGACATTTGCATACACGTATTAAGGCGAGAGGTGCCCGGAGCTATGGAATGAGGTAGAGCAAAAGGAATGAAGGGAAGAGGTCTCAGTATGTATGTATGGTATTGTAAATAGTATACGCTTCGACGGCTGTAACTTATGTAGGATATTTGCAATGCTCTATATATATGTACTCCAAAATCCACATTCGAGAGGCGATGCCGAGAGACGTGACAAATAAAACGCCACGACGACAACAACGTTCCTGCTGAACTTTGTGGCACCTTAGGTTTGGACAGTTCATCTTTCGTATCACCGCAGCAGCATGCAGAACGCCGCGCTGCAAGACACCGATCATAGGAATATAGGATTGCAATAGCACTAAAACGAACGAAGAAAAATACAAACAAGCCGCGACAGATACACATCTATCCCCTCTTTCACCTACTGCTGGGCCAGTTCCTCGAATCACATCATATACAGCGCGCATACTCCGACGCGATGGAAGCTGCGTGCCTAGTCGACAGATGGTAACTTGGTTTACCGCTTCGCAGGCTTCCTCTTGACCTCGTCGTCTTTGCACGCGTGGAGCATCACCTTGTTCGGGTGTCCCGGCGTCATGCCGGAGTGGCCCTTGGACCAGTCGTAGGACACCGAATAGGCAAAGATCGTGCCTGTGCGGTTGAAGCACGAAGCGGACACAGGGCCGGGCGACGGGTCGAAGGCTATGGAAGAATACGGAGTGAGCAAACGGTTTCGGAGAACGTGTAGGGAACGGGTATGAGAACGTACTCTTGAGTCGTGTGCGCGCGTCTTTATCCCAGAAGTTGACTGTCCCGTCAGAGCCTATCCCGAGTGGTTATCTCAGAAACGAGCAATTTAAATGTATAATTACGCGAGATTACATACCGCAAGTGCTGAATGTGCCATGCACAGGGTGGAAGGCGATGTCGTTCACGGCGAACACGAGTGACTGGTCTTTGGTCGTCGGAGATTGGTCGCGTCGGTGGCACTTGAATGAAAAGTTGGACGAGGCGTCTTTGTCTTCTACGTATCTGAATAAGGGTGGCGGGCCTTAGTAATATGAGGATATAGAGTGGGTGAGGGGCGTACTGTATAGCGACACGGCCCTCGACGCTGCCCACTGCGAAACCGTTCGCGGTAGGGAAGCAGGATACAACACGCGTTTGCCATTTCAGCGGCGATACCATTGTCTGCCAGAGTTAAAGATCACAAGAAAAAGTCAATGCAGGTAGCCCATATGCAAGGTGGCCGGACGTACTTTGAATGCTGTACTAGGATTGGTCAAGTTGAATATCTGGATATGGCGCTCGGCGGTGCCAACAACCAGAAGAGGATACATAACGTCCATGGTGTAGCATCGTTCAGGGAGTTGGACAGTAGACACCGGAGCCGAGGTTCGTAGATCCCAGTACTAAAAACCGTCATATGAGCGAAGAGGCCTTAGAACGGACAACAGCCACGCACCTTGAGCGTTTTGTCCCAGCTGCCCGTCGCCAGTATCCCACCTCCAGGTGTCTCAATCCATTTCACAACCTTGATGGGCGCGTCGTGCTGAGCCACTTGCTGCGCTTGGCCAGTCGTGACGTCGTACATGCGGCCGGCATTGTCAGCGCCGCCAGAGAGAATCTTCGTGCCGTCCTGCTCGGGAGGTCAAGCATATTGAGTTCCAGCCATTAGCCATTGCAATGAGCGTAAACCGCACCTTGTTCCAACATACACTCAGTACAGGGCCTTGGTGAGAGTACATCGCCTTCGGTTGTGTCTGCCCATTCGCGCTGACTTCGTAAACGTATACCTGCAACAGGGGTAAAACAGTGTCAACTACCAGAGGCTCTCATGCGGACGCACAGCGTCGGAGTCGTGTCTGGTGTGGTACTTACATTATTGTCCCAGCTTGCGACGGACAGGTAGTCGGCTTGAGGGGAGAAGGCCAATGAGGATATAGAGTCAGAAGGAGGATTTCCAACTTCGATGTCTTTTTCAGCCGGCGCCGCTGCGGCTGCAGCGGACGAGGTGGAAGGTGCGCTGAAGAACGACATGCCGCCGTTCTGAGTTGTGGGCAACGTGCTCAAAGGCAAGTTGATTGAATGAGCGGCGAAGTGAACAAGCGACGGAGCCGCAGGTGAAAAGAACTTTATAGTGTTGGGATGTGGCCAAAGCACAAAGGTGTTGTGGCCGGCTGGCCTAATGGTTAAGGCGTCAGTTTCCGGTGTCACACCTAAGCTGAAGATTCCGAGTTCGACTCTCGGGTTGGTCGAGTTTTTGTTGATCTCGCATCTCACAAAAGATCAAGGGATCGCACTTTCACCTTCGCATTTGCGACGCCCTTTTACTGCAGAATAAATACGTTTGTATTTGCGACCGGCTGGCCCACGAGACGGCAATTCGGCAAGGCCATGCACCGTGCTGATGCTTGGACCTTGGGGCCCACGAGGTCACGATAGTCATATCATTCACTGTCATAATATTGAACGCTGCTCTTTATGTACCAAGTGGTTCATTCTTTCAAACTCTCCAGCTGCCTAGTAACCAGTGGCCTTGTCAATGACGATGTCCTGATCAGCGTCGGTGACACCTGTCTCGGCGAGTGCTTGGTCCATCTCCCTCTCATTCTTCCAGGCATCGTTCTTCTGGCCCCGCGTGCGACCAGACATTGTGTTTATCTTCGGTGGCAGAGCTCAAAAGGTCATCCACCGAAGCTTCGGTGGAGTCAGAGTTAGCGACACGCGCGCACAAGGTAAGAACGGCCAAACGTACAGCGAGGGATGCGGCCAGTGCTCTCTGATTGATTCGTCTCCTGGTCCTCTTTGACCCAGTTCTGGCCAGTGGGCTGATTATCTGCACCGCGGGCACCGACGGGTTGGGCGGACACGAAGTCGCCGTCAGGGTTGAAGGTGGAGTCGTCGTGTAACATATCACCGGAGGGGTTGTCTGTCATATCGTCTGCGTTGGCTGCATTGCCAGAGTTGTTTCTACGTGTGACGCCGACCATGGTTGCTTATGGTTTCAGTTGATGACTGGGCGGTGATCGTAGTGGTGGTTATCTTGACTCGCGGTGTGAGGCTGCAAGAGATACATTCCGAGGTACTTATATACCTTACGACGATGACCGGACAGACGTCAAGGCGAATGTCACAATGGCCCCCCCCCACTGCGTCGGCTAGCAAACAGCGACACCTTCCATTTCTGGCAGTCCACTTTGCTTCCCAGGCGAGGCGCGCGGGGATCGACTCGATGGCACGCGAGCATCTCCCTGCAAGGCCTCTATCGACGATCCAGTTCAGAGCAGTGCATTAAAGCTCCATGGCCAGTGGATGTAACCACTTTCTGTGTCGAGTTGGTGACCAAGCTCATAGCGATCACAGTCTGACGACTCAAAAAAGTCGAGACATCAGGATTCGGATACATGCTTTGCAAGTAAATCATACCTGAGGTTTTCCACTAGTATCTCTGTAGAGTTTATTGTGCTGTCAGCTAGCTCCTCGGCGCATCAGGTGCTACGGCGACTGTGAAGAATCGAAGGAGTCGATGATATCCTGTATTGGAGAACAGACGTCAGTTCCGTACTCATGCATAACACCTGGAGAATTGGATGATCTCACCAGAACAAGCTTCTAATAATGCTTGTCTACAAAAGCCGTATCCGTGGCTGACTTGAATGGCGGTCAGGCTGCGCCTGTTTCTCCTGTGGAATCTGAATTTTACCACAAGATTACTAAAATTTCAAACACGTACACGAGCTAATCTGAGTAAACGCACGTCTAAGTCAGCCATGTAGGGCTCAATATATCCTCCACCGCCAGGACCATGGTCAATGCAGTAAGCTCACAAGTGGTCACAAATCAAGCTGGCATCAACCGTCTCAGCGCTTCCTATAATCAGTGCAGCGTCACGTGCTATAAACGATCTCCCAGACTCAACAGCAGTTCAACAACTCAAAGCAGATCTACGTTCAACGCAGATCTTCGACGGTGCGTATCGTTGATATCGTAGCAAAACGTATCGAGTAGCTGTTGATTAGCGTAGTCACCGCATGCCCTACCGGAAGCTAACCGAGTAGATAAAACATAAACCAGCCGATCTTCAAGTGAGGGACTTTCCTTGCTATTGTGCAGTGGTGACTGCATCCAGTGCCGATGAGGCAGCATTCGGGATGAAGGCGACATCCGCCGCATCGCAGCGCGCAAGAACGAGCGCGGAAGCAAACCTGCAGTCAATCGACGCCACGAAGATCGCAATACCCAAAAGGGAAGACAGATGGCTTCCCGACTCACCCACCGGATCAAGTCAATAGTGAGCATAGCAATCATGCCCGCATGAGACCGCCATGCTGCGCGCGTTCGGTGAAGTTTACCTCAGATCGCGGTTCACAGCGGTTCCCGGAGAGAATGATGATCACACCGATTCTCATCCGGAGACCTAGATTCTGCTAATGTAATTACACAACATTGATACAGTTATGAGGATATAATTTAGTAAAGTCCCGGAGATGTCGTCGCCAGACTATCGTGCACTTGAACGCGGTTGCGTAGTTAGACGGGGCTGGTAAATGAACAGGATTCGCTCGCTGAGGTTTTCAGTTATACTCGACAGTCTTCTCGACTCGTACTCGGAAGTTCTAAAACCCCATCGTTAAATTTTGGTTATCTGAGGAAATGGGTCTACCCACCATGCTCTCCTGTTCGCGTAGCTCATGATCCACTGGCAAGCTCTGCGTGGCCGGCTCTGATGATTCAGGAAACCGAGACAGGTGTATCGACACGGGTTCAGCGCTCGAGCGATAAACAACATCTTTCAAGTATTCTCTCGAGTTCAGCATGCCCAGTAGAGAGTTCAACATTACTAGTGACAGAAGTCAGCTCCGCATCAGTTGAAGCGTTAATGAGGCCACGTACGTTTGGGAAGCATGGCTGCTAGGCCAAGGTAATACAGTTTGCCAGGCTCCGTCGCGTACTTCGGAGAGATCTTTGCTTAGTACTCGAAGACTCGCAATCCAAAAATACGCACTGTGATGACGACTGTGACGCCGACCGCACTGGAAAGGATCGGACATGAGCTGACATACAATTCCTGACGGGTCACGTAATGCCTACCTGGTTACGAGACATGTGTTCACAGTGTAAAGAACGACCAGATGTATGACCGAATTAGTACTAGATAGTAGCTATTAACGGGGAGAATGAAAGCGAACAATGGTAGCCTTACCTTGCGAACCCGGTACGCATGCGTAGAAGACTTGTCGTGAGTGCAACAGCGATAATGACGTCTGAGATTGCTTGCGGGATGAAAGAAAGATACCACGTCCACTACGAGACAGGATATGAGCTTGATAAGAAGATAGAAAACGCAGATGACTCACTCGACCTATACGGTTGAAGTAGCTGCTAGAAGGGTGTTTCAGGCTGCGTGTTAAGGTTGGTGAACATAATAAACACATACAGTTCGTGAGCGACTGACCTCAGCACAGCCAATGCTAAGATATACACGTATCGTAATCAGCGTCCTGTCCAGAGGTACGATGACTTACCGATGACTCCGGCTGCGGGCGCATTAATGTGGGAGTAAGGACAAGGTGGAATACGAATATAAACACGAGCAACACGTACCCAACGACGCCATCTCAGCAATCACCTGCAACAGCCTCACATAAATAACAAACCCCATTGAGGCCAATCAGCAGTGTTGCACTTACTATCGGCCATATTAGCCATATTTTGCTCGTAACTGGAGCCAATATTAGGAATTAGGTCCCTGCCCGTGCCAATGAATACAAGAGAGAACCTACTCTTCCATAAGCGTTGAGCGAAGAGGCTGAACCCACATAAGATAAGTCAACAGTGTCTCAGCCGCCACTGACGTAGACCATACCCTGTAACGACAAGATCACCGATACACTGGAAAGTTTGGCAAGTGGATGGTCAGCGAAAGCCTTCGATAAATATTGCAGAAAACATACTCCTGTAATTGCATATGCCTGTGAGTATGAAATTAGTAAGATGCACGTCTAAGGATCAATGGCTCTTGCAAGGCTTACGGAGAGCGACCTATGAGAAACTGCCTCTTAGAAGAGCATCAATATCAGTCTAGATTGTACTTACCACGGAATTATGTCCAACGCGGGAGGGTTGGCAAAGTTTGTCACACAGAAGAAGTATACAACATGGACAGCGAACCCGAATTGTACGCTATCCAGAATCCTGCGACCGCGATACTGCGTTAGCTGATCGTACGCCAAGTAAGATCGTCAGATTTACCACAGAAAAAGAACCTGGCGCACACGTCAATAAGGCAAGTAATGTGTATTAATCGCCCTTACCGAGAATCTTAGCCAATTTGGGTCTCGTTGGCTACGCTGGTGATAAATAAAAGTCTGCACAGTCGTAGCACCATAGAAGCTTAGAACATGCAAGATCTCAGTGAAATTATAGGACGTCTATAGCTAGAGCACATACACGGCGACCAGCATGTGTGCTAGGGACGGGAATGAGCTCGAAGGTAAATGCATGCCTATGTACAAGAAGAACGAATTTACACGCACCAACTACAATAACTCCCAACGAGTTGTCCAACGGTGGGAGTGTCGTGGCCGACGGCGCCGGCACTTGTAGCACAGGCATAACGAACGCAACCGAAGAGAGGGGCACTAGGTCAGGTATGTCGCCGATCGGCACATTTTGTACGAACCCGAGCAGTGAGCGTTCAGGTCATTCGGCTTCCTGATTGCTGGGATGTTAGTGTAGGTCGGCGCGCAGCCACGCAAGTGGCGCGTGAGACAGATGGAAGAGCCGCGTAGCGCAAAAACATGATAGCAATGTTCGGAGCGGAAATCTTCCACGTAAGATATTCTTGTTCTTTGGCAGTTCTTTAGGAACCGCTTCAGAAGAGACCCTATGCTTCCTTGATCATCTCACTAGTATATGTGATTGATCAGTCTTGGATGCGTATTGTGGGCGAACCTGTGCACGAGAGGCTGTATGTATCTACACACTCACCGGTCTGATGACGCGGGCGAGGGCGCCCCGAACAGCCCGTCAGTAGGGATCTGCTGTGCACGGTGACCCGCAAAAGCAACTGACACGACGGGGCGCATAGCTACCATGCCTCAGGCTTCACGTGGGCACAACGACGTAGACCGGAAATAGAGGCCTCGCCGGAAATTCTCGAGCGTATATCCTTGCACGTGTAGCTCAGAAGCTCGCAAATGACACTATTGAGTCAAACTGTGTGAGCATCTTTCCTCAAATCTGCAGCGCTGAA